GGCGATCTGATGAGACAGACAGAGAATAGTCCGGGCGGCGATCTGATGAGACAGACAGAGGATTGTCCGGGCGACGATCTGATGAGACAGATATGCGTATTTTTGTTCCCGTTTTCTGCTATTGTTCATATAAATGACGGTGGTGGCATTAATCACTCTGGCAGTGTTTGATGGGTTTTAATAGTTCTAACATTGTCAGAACAGCCCAAGTCCTTATCCATTTACATCCATCGTTTCATTTTCATTTTACTGGTAAATCAGCTCATAGGCGGCTACTGGATTACACTTTTTTGTTTCTTAGAAATACATTCAATGTTGCACAGCCAACGAAATCGTATTTTTATCATCGTTACTGGTAATTTGCCGATGGAAGCCGCTTCCATCGTGCGGAAAATCCCGATCTCGACAAACTTGCGATGTTTGGTGTGGCGTCGACCGACGGGGCCGACCGGCGGCCCCCTCGGGCGGCCGTCACCGCCAGACGCTGCCGCCGCCGTCGACGCCGACGGCGGCGGCGGCCCGCCATCGACCGACGTCCAAGACGCGCGGGTTGATAGGCGGAGCACGAAATTCAATTTTGTTCGCAATGGCTGCCGACCGGCGATCGTCGGCATAGATAGAGTCGGCCGAGATTGCAGGAGGCCAGAATAAATTGAAGTGATTCGGGACGGCGCACGCCGGCAGAGGGGAGCGGCGTAAGAAGATGGGGCGTGGGGCGACACGATAGCGCGCGACAAACTCCAAACGGAACTTACCCAGCAGCCGGCAGCGGTGGCACAAGTTTGTTCATTAGCAGACGAAGTTTCGTTGCGCCCGCCTGGGAAGCGCTTCACCTCTTTCAATGAAAGCCGCGAGTGGTGTTTCGGCAGCAAGCTGGTGTCCTATCACAACCATGTCTGTTCAAACTTGGAGCAAGCCGACCAGTCCCAGCTGACCATCAGCTCCAGCCGAGATCCCCGCGGATTTCACACTCGCTGCCCGCCGCTCACATCAACAGCGTGTTATCTGCGCACGAGGGCCGTAATGAACCGTCGACAACAAAGCCCAACACGCCGGACACCAGTGGGGAACTAATCAAAGAATGCGGCGCACGCGCCCCGGCCGCATGTGCCCGATTTTATTGCAGCTTTATGATTGCGCCGGGGCCAGACTGCACTGCGAGGCGCACGAGCGCGCATAAAGTGGAGGCTGGTCGGGATTACGGTGACTTTATTCCCCTAGACCGTCCCTTTGTCTCGGTCGGCCAGGTCGCCAGTTGGTGGATTCGTTCCGCAGAGCCAGCCCCGTACCCTGGCACCGGGGGACTTTTTGAGCGTGATGTACGAGGAAAATAAATAGAGGTGAAATCCCTCCGGCGAGCCATTATTCCCTAATCGCCGATCAGGGCCTAGATACGGTCGCGTCGCTTTCGTTGAATAATAGTCGATTCGGTTGACTACTGTCGCTGCAGATAAAACTCCCCCGATAGTTCCGGAGGGACGGGCGGAGGGACGGCCGTCGATAACAATCCCGCCCCCAGGGGAAATACGACCGCCCTCGATAAGACATACGGCAATCTGTTCACCAGCCAAGTGCCGCTCCGTGTGTGACGATGGTACGCAGAAGCACTGGTCCGGCGCTGGAAACCATGACGCCGTCTCTTTTCGTGGCTATGCAGGGTCCTACGTGAAATACGGTGTCAGACAATACGGTGTCAAATACGGTGAAATACGGTGTGAAAAAAAGCGTTTGATGCGCTTCCTCCGAACAAGCCCGAAGATATCGAGAGCTTGAAAGCCGAACAAATATATGTATTTGGAAGCAAGAGGAATCACCTGGCCCAGGAATGAGCGCCAGCACGCGCAGTCGGCTCATTATATTAAACAGATCGCGTCTATCTAAAACGTTTTCCGACTGCATAATTGATTTAAAGAATAGAAGCGTTGTGAGCATTGCTACAAGACGAGCAGTGATGTTGTTTTGGTACATCAGCGGCCACCATCAATTCGCTGACCGATTGAACACGAGTAATTCCATTGCAAGTGTTGGGCTAGTTGTCAGCAAGGTTTTTAAAGCTCACCTCCAGGCTGGAGGCTGGCTGGAGGCTCCAGAAAGTAGCACGGGTCTGAAGCTTCCCTTCACCTCTGGCGAGTTTCATGAAGATGATTTTAAAAAATGACGTAATATCGAATGATAATAATGGCAAACCCTGCGTTGACAAAATGTAGGCTCATTAACCCAAAAGGTGAGAAAGTGATGGAACCAGCCTACAATTCAGGCTAAAACACACAACAGGGCCTGTAGCGAAGCAAACAAACCATTAGTTTGTCGAACCAAGTGTCGGAAGACCGGTGACCAACGCAAGCTAAAGGTGGGTGAAGCAAGCATCCGGGGCCACCTTCTCACCAAGTGCTATTTTGTTGACCGCCGTTGTCATAGAAACGCAGGGTCAGGCGTTTGTCGTATTTGCTTTATATGTGCACTGTGCAGCGTTTCAGATGGCGCTCAACGATCACGCAGAGGTGTGACAGGTTAGCATCGATAATGACTTGTGTTCCTGAGCTGCTCGCGGCCGAGGAAAGTCGATGAAACTGAGCACTTGATGAACCGTGTATCCATATCGCTCAGATGCAAAATGTATGTATGTCGCCATTTTTCGTTATCAACCTGGCCACTGGTGCAGTAAGGAAAGATGGTACCCACTACAACTATTCCGCATGCCATGCTGTCTTTTCTATGCTACTTATATGCAAAGCTAGCACTGTTTTTAATATTCGTAAATGTGAGCCGACCGCTTGAACGTTTGCGAGCAGTGCTGGTAAACAAAAACGTAAGGGTCACCCAAGGATACGTTCGATACCATATCAGCCACTTGTATAGGTAGCATATCAGCCACGTATCAGGTCACTTTAGATAGATAGTAGGTGATGCAAGTAGGGCTTAGTAGGTCATGTTGGATATTTAGGGTGACAAAGTAGAAGCAAACAAGTGTGCACGTTGTCTGCCGCCTCCTCGCATCCCATGACGGAGCCTTACGACCGAGGCAGACTGCCACCGCCTGGCGAAACCCTACACCTGCTGACTGGAAGGGGCTCGGCAGATCAGTGCTTACGAGGAAACTGCGAGCAGTCCGCAGAAGAGTGCGTACGAGGAAACTCCGAGTAGTCCGCAGATCAGTGCGTACGAGGAAACTCCGATCAGTCCGCAGAACAGCCGCGTGGCGTTCCCGTCATCTGCGTGAGTGCACTCCTGCGCAGTTCCTCTGCGCTGCTCACTTGCGTGCGGTCGGCGGAGTTCCGATGGAAGCTGTACCCTTCCGCAGCTCTTCTACGCTACTCACCTACGTGCGGTCGGCGGAGCTCCGACGGAAGCCGCACTCTTCCGTAGCTCCTCTGCGCTGCTCCCCTACGTGCAGTCGGCGGAGCTCCAACGGGAGCCGCACTCATCCGCAGCTCCTCTGCGCTACTCACCTGCGTGCAGTCGGCGGAGCTCCGACGGGAGTCGCACTCTTCCGCAGCTCCTCTGCGCTACTCACCAGCGTGCAGTCGGCGGAGCTCCGACGGGAGCCGCACTCTTCCGCAGCTCCATTGCGCTACTCACCTGCGTACAGTCGGCGGAGCTCCGGCGGGAGCCGCACTCTCTCTCTATTTCTGTATTTCTTCGGAGTGTGTGCGCGCTCCCAGCCGGTGTCATTGCACTTGCAGTTGAACACAAGACGAGCGCAGTTGGGTAAGAGTACAGAATGCTTGTCTTGGGAGCCAGGTGGAGGGGGGGGGGGGGGGGGAGCGGCAGTGTCACCGCTGTCTGACGTTCTTTGTTCGGTCGTCTCCAGGAATTCGTCCAGAGAGAGAATAAGCCGTGTGGCTCTGGAACTGCCAGGACTCCTTGTTTGGCTGCTGTGCCGTGGCCGGTGACCGGTGGCCAGTGCCCCCCCCCCCCCCCCCTCCTTCCCTCCCCCAGTGGGTCATCCATGTGAGGCTTGCTCTGCTAGCTGTTCAGAATTTACCTCTTCCCAGAGGCCTGTCGTGTCGCGCCACGGCTGCCGCTGCCTCGTGCAACTGCCGTTTACCCTAGATGGTATAATGGTTCGAACAAGCGCCCTCGTCTGGTGTTTGTTAGTACGTACGCAACGTTCGGCCAGTTAGCATTCCGGCCGTCTCCCACGGCCGTACCGGCTGTATACTTTGTCTAACGTGTATGCAAACGCCATTCTCACAACGAAGAACATTTAATGACATCCTTATTTACAACAAAAATACATTAATCACATTCACGCGGCGTGTTCACTCGAGATGCGGGGGTCACAGATTGGCACGCGTACAAGATCCATACACGTCACACCATATTCGTCACGGCACGCGACAGGATAAACTTTAAATATACGATGTGTCCACAGAGCTACAACTTACGGGAACACAGGACTCATGAACGTACGACCACGTGTGAGAGGGGAACGGCTCTCAAGGTGCTTGACGCCCTTATCGCGATGGCTTCCACCAAACACCTGCCGCAGATCACCGGTATAGTACAGATGACGCCATACACAGCTCCGCTACGGTTAAAGGTTGGCTTCACGATAGTCCAGGTAGGGACACTCCAGCTAACTCAGTAGGTTCACTAACCGATGGGTTCACTGCACCGAGACCCGGGGCGGCTGATGTCGGAGGCCTCCGAGACTGCACGGTGGCCTGCAGCCCGTCCTACTGGGCTGGCTCGCCAGAGAGGACACACGCGCGCGTGCGCCTGCCTAGCTCGCTCGGGAGGACGCACCGGCGCGGGCGCCTGCCGCCGACGCCTGTCCTCCCGCTCCCTCCGCGCGCAGCGTCGCCAGCAGACGGCGTCGCCGACTTCCTTAACAATAGATTGCACTATAGGTTCCGCCCCAGTGGAGCTGTGACACTGATCTGGCAACACAACAGCTCCGCGGAGCGGCGCCGGCCCGTCCGCCGCGTGTGAGTGACGCCGAACCCCGCCGCGCGGCGCCCGGGGCGCTAGCCGCCGGGCGGCGCAGGCGGCGCCGGGCCGCGCCGGGCGGCGAGCTCGGGCCGCAGGAGCTCAGGTCACTCGCGCACGGGTCACCAGACCAGACCCTCGTTGGACGGGTGGTCGGTGAAGTTGCCCGGACCTGGAGCGAGAGCAGGGGCACCGTTAGCGCGCGGCGGAGGCGCGGCGGCGGCACGAACTCAGCGCACGACCGTGGCCCGGACCTCTCGCGGGCGATGCAAGACGGCACACGGCGCACGGCGGGTAACATTGCGCCCACGATAACGCCGAATGCGGGCGGCTAATCTGAGTGGCGAAGGCAACACCGGCATGGCCATTAGGCGGTGGTCAGGTGGCAGGGGAACACGACGAAAGCACGAGCAGTGCACACGCAAGGGCCGTGAAACGAGCCGGGATACCGTCGCGCCGTGAGCCCCGAAGACCGACGCGGCGGGGCGAGCGAGCAGCGTGACACCACCGAAGACCAGCCGGCGGCGGGAGGGCACCCGCACCGGCGCGAGAGCACTCGAGGGAGACGAGCCGCAGGGGCGGCGGCCGCGGCTCAGCGGCCACCAGACGTATGGCGGCCGGCCCGGCCCCGTGTCGCGCCGCGCTCCATCACAATTCATTTGGCCGCTTTGACGCGTGTCACCGTCCATTATCTGAGTCCACGGCGAGCCGACGCGGCGGCGAATTAACTTGTCGGCCGGCGACCGCGACGTCACGCGGCCGCCGCGCCGCCGCGACCGGCGGCGACGGTGCGCGGCGCGCCGTTCTGCGCCGCGGCGCGCCGGAAACGCCCCGTCGCATTTACAAACACCCGACGGGCCGGGCCGCGGCCCATTGTGCGCGCGCGCCGCGGCGCGCGATGCAATCGGCCGCGAATTTCGATCAATCGGCGCGATCAATGGCGAGCGACGGTCGGCGCGAGCGCGGCCGGCCGGGCCGCGCAGCTCGCACGCCACCGCCGCTCGTGTCGATAACTACAGGCCAGGGGTGAGATCGCATGCGCCCCGGCCGATCGATCGAGATGAAACTTTAATTAGTTTTATTAGATTTAAGTGGTATCTTTTCTTCGGCTTCCTGATTGCTGTCATTAGTGGCTGGTGGCGGCATGCGAGGCGCACGCAGTCGCCAGTGGTTGCAGCGCGGCGCCGGAGGTGCCGCCGGCTGTCCGGGGGAAGGGGAGAGTCGCTGCGGCACATCTGCCGTCGGCCGCATGACTCACCTTGCGGCGGGCCGCTGGGGGGCATCCCGTTCACCAGGTTGTTGACGCTGTCGGGACTGGAGCGCTGCGACATCAGGTCACTGTGCGGCATGAACGGGTGGTCCATCGGCATGCCGTTCATGCCGCCGAAGTCACCCATGGGCCCGCCGGGCGGCAGGGGCTGCTCCATGGAGACGGGCACTCCGGGACCTGTCCAGGGCCGCCGCGTCGTCAGATACACACTCGTGCCGTCCAGCCAGGGTCGGCAGCGGCCGCATGCCAGGCACTGAGCGACGGCATTTCTCTAAACTTTCCCTTCTTACGGAAATATTCGCAACGAAGACAAGTAAGCGAAGCATTTATAACGACATGATTTCATTGAGCACCTGAGAACCTCCCTCTTCTTCCCCCTCCCGCACACGGATTCTCACTTCTTTGCAACTGCACCGAAAGTCAGAAACCCTGCGCAAAGTCGTTCAGCCTAGATGTCCTCTGCCCCCGGCGTCTCTGTCACCGAGCGCGAGAAACAGGCAGACGGCACCAGGAGGGGCTCTCACCTCCGGTAGGGAAACCCATGGCAGGGTTCGGTCCAGCCGGAAAGAACTCGTTGAATGGCTGGTGTCCGTAGAACTGGCCGTCGGCGTAGAACGGGAAGTCGTCCATGCTGGGCGACATGCGCATACCGCGCAGCTTCCGCGGGTTGCCGAACATGTGAGCGCGCATGCCCATCGACGAGAGCTGTTTCATGCGCCTCTCCTTGCTGCGTTTGTTCTGGAACCACACCTGCGGAAGAGGCGCAGACGTCAGCCGGCCGCTCCACGGGCAGGATCGCACATTTCGAGAACGCAGTCAGTTTGATCAGGAGGCGGAGAGGACGACGCAGCGGGAGACAGTATCGCCACCAGGAGACAGACGGCAGGACAACACAGCCGGGGATAGTTCACACGATGGTGACACGTGCCGCATCACTGAATCACGCCTCCGTCCGTCGCGCTGGCGACGGCGCCGACGCCCGGTGGTCTCCGCGTGATCAACAGCCCGCCGGGGCGTCGCGGCGCCTCATAAATCCGCCTGGCGCCCTGTAAATCCCTCCGCCCGGCCGGAAGCCGCCGCCGCCGCCGCCGCCGTCGTCGCCGTCGTCGCCGTCGTCGCCGTCGTCGTCGTCGTCGCCGGCCGGTGCCGGTCGGCCGTGGCGTGTCTGGACGGCGGCGGCGGCCGTGCGCCGCCCAGCGCGCCGCTGCGGTTTGCGGTCGGGCGGCGCCGTTTGCCGGTCGGTGCGCCCGTGAGCCGCCCTCTTGTTGGCCTACCCGGCAATCATGGCGGCCGCCACCGGACGCCGCCGGTTGATGGCCGCCGCCGTTTAACCTAGCCGGAGAGGCTGTGTATTCAACGCGGACTTCCGTGTGCGCAACACGCTTACGGCATCCTTGCCAGCGCAGAGCACTGCGGTTTCATAAGGTAATCTCGAGAGGCAGCGTAGGGCAGCGGAATGATGAATGCGTTGTAAAAAGCGCTCACGGAAAAGACCTATGATTTGGCTTTTCTGCCGTAAAAACGGCTCCCCTTGCTCAGTATCATCCCGTCGCGCGCTCCCGAACCACGTGCTACCCTCGCACGGCTGCCCGTATCACCGTTCACGGCCGACTGCATGCGGTCCCCTTTCCAGCCACCTTTTCGCCAGCACGCACCCATACGGCGCGCCAGAGCGTGCCTGGGGCTGCGACCCGGACAGCTGCGCTCGCCGCCGCTCCCGTGGCCACTGCTGCGTGAGAGGTGCACGCAGCGCACGCCGCCGCCGCCTCGGCCTCAGTAGCCTTGTCCGTCATGTGAGCCGCCCGTTTTTCAGCGGCGGCCAGACAAAGTCGGCCTGTCACGCCGCTAACGAGTCGCGGCTATCATCTGGCGCGATTTAGTGATAGCGTCAGCCGCGAGATGGCTCTATTCTGCGCGCTCGGCCGGCGTGAGCCCCGGTCAATCAACTGTAATGTTATTGTTCTTGGCGATAAAGCACGTCGGCGGCGGACGGGCGGGCAGAAGTCCGCCCGTCCGGCAGGCCGGCTCCGCTCGGCTGCGCGCGCACCGGCGGGAGATGGCGGAAAGATGACAGGACGGCGTGCGGAAGCCGGGGGAGCCGACAGGGAGATGGCGAAGAGATGGGAGGTCGGCTGGCTGCTCCAGAGACACCGGCGGAGAGGTGGCAGGGAGATTGCAGGCCGTTTGCAGAGCTCGGGAGGAGTCCGCCGGAGATAACGGCGAGACGGCTGGTCAGTTTGATTGTCCAGGGCAGACTGTTGGGAGGAGGCGGGCAGACCACAGATCGACTCGAAGGAACTCATATGACCGGCGGAAACGATGAGAAAGATTTGATACACCCGCTGCTCCAAAAAAGTGTGGAATGTTTTTTCTCTACTCAGGCAAGTTCCATGACTTCCGAGGAGCAGGGATAGAAGAACAAATATATTCATACCGCATGCAAATGAACATCAGCGGTTGGTACGGTGATTCCACCTTTGCCCCGGAGGCGCCGTCACCTCCGCTGGTGCAAAGCAGCGCGTGCTCCAGCGGATGGTAGCCCGGGGCGACAGGGCACCGAAGAAGCGCGCGCCGCCCGGCCCGGCCCGGCCCCGGCCCAGGACTCGACAAGAACGGCCGCAAAAACTGACGCCTGTCGTTCACGCCGGCCGCCGTGAGCAGGGCTGGGCGGCTGGGCGCGCGCGCGCGTGTCAAAAGCGCACGCCCCGCCCTGCTGCCCCCGCGCCGAGCTCGCCCGGTTCGAGGCACGCAGCCTGAGCCGAGCTCTGGCGGCTGGCTTGATCAGATTTTCGTTGAGGACAGATCCGCGAACGTTCTGCCGAGCTAGCTCCGGCGGCCGCCCTCAAACTTCAAGTCCGAGGATATCGGGAACAAATTTGGGAGCAGATCACGGGTGCCTCCGCCATCAATCAGGGCCAAGCGGCTGGGCAGAGCTCGTTCCAGCGACACCTGCAGGCCATGCGGTGGCCGCCGAGGGGCCGTCCGACATGGCCGGACCGGGCCTCCGACACTCAGGAATCGCCGCGGGCCAGCGGGCGCTTATTATTTGTGGCCGAGGCGGCGGCCACTGTGTCACATTAGTTTGCGGAATGTGTGATTAGCGGCGGCCGCGCGGGCAGCGGCCGCGCAGGACAGCGCGATTTACGGCGCGCCCGCCGCCGACGGCCGGCGCCGCGTAACCGCAACAATCCGATACCCATCGTGCATAAATAAAAACGTTATAAATTACTAGTGCGGCGCGCGGAGCGACTGTTTGCGTCCGATAGACTGGCGCCTTTTTTCGGCGCGCGGCCCGACCGGACAGGACCGCCGCGCTGATGGAGCGATACGATACAGCCGCGCCGGGCAGGTGCCACAGGCCGGAATAAATGCCCGAAAAGTCAGAAAAGCCACGGCACGCCCCCCGCGACGCGCGCCATGGAAAAAATGGTCGAGGCCGCCGCCGGGAAAGGCTAACATTTGTTTTGGCCGGAACGTGGCCCCAGATGTAGCTGATAGCTGTCTGCAGGCGGGCGTCAGCCGAGCCGGGCCGGCCTGCGCTGAATGCAGCGGGCGACAGCAGAAAAATCCCCGGATCTTATCGGCCGCGCCAGATACACGATGTCGGCCCCGATTGCGCAGGAATCCATGTCGGAATTTACGCACCGTGTTGGAGATGTCAGAGCTCATGCTTCAGCGGAGCGTGTTGCACCGGCCCCGGCGGCCGCGAGCGGGCCGGCCGGTCGCCGAGTATGGCAGCCGTAGCGCGGGCGGGCGGGGCCGGCCGGCCGGCTGCGAATTCCACCCTTGAACGAGTCTCCTCCCACCGCCGCTTGACCCGCCCCCTGTCAAATCTTATGCAACAGGCGGGCGTGATTTACGCGCGCGCGCGGCGGCGCGGCGGCTGGGGGCGGGCGGATGGTTGCCGCGTTCCCAGGCCTGGTGGGCTGGCCGCGCCGCCGCCCGGCCGCCATCAATTGCGGCCGATAGCGCGCCGAACCCACCGCGCCGGCTGCGGCCGCTCGCGGTCTGAGGTGCGAGCTGGCCGCCTCTGCCTCCCGGCCCCGGCCCCGGCTCTGGCTCCGGCCTCTATCCCCGGCTTCGGCCCTGGCCCCACCCCGGCTCCGACTCCGGCTCCGACCTCGGCTTCCGTTCCGGCTCCGGCTCCGGCTCCGGTTCCGGCTCCGACTCCAACCCCGGCTCCGGCTCCGGCTCCGGCCACGCCCCCCCCCCCCCTCCGGCTCCAGCTCCGTTTACGACCCCGACTCCGGCTCCGGCTCCAGCTCCGACCCCGACTCCGGCTCCGGCTCCCGCTCCCGATCCGACGCAGCGGAGGCTAATCCCAGATCGACGGGGGCGCGCACTTGTCCGCGGCGACCGCGTGGCGGCGCCGGATGCGCTCGCGTTGCAGCTGATGGTCACAATGCAATCGTCTGGACGGATCGCCCGGCGGGCCGGCGGTGCCGGACGCCCGGCCGCCGCCGCCGCCGCCGCCGCCGCCGGCTGCCTGCCCTATCTGGTCACTCGGGTAACCGGCGAGAAACCAGAGCCGGGCGAACGTGACCGTCCCGCTGTCGACTCGGCGCGGCGCAAAAAGCCCCCTCCCCCCTGCCTCCAGACGGTCGACGGCGGCGCCGACATGTTGCGGCACCGCGGCGAGCGCGGCAAAAAGAACGCGGCGATCTGCGTCCCGCATGCCGCGGTCGTGAGGGCTGCTCTCCCCGGCATGGTATTGGCCAACTGCTAATCCACCAGTGGTCCACTTTGACGTGTGTCCGGAGGCTCGCGGCGGACGTCATGAAGGGCGCACGATAGGCGGCAGCACGAATGGGTTGTTCAGCGCACCTGACTATGTGTTCTGCCTTTATTTTCACCGGCAACTGGTTTCCTTATTTTACTTGCGGCACAGCGTTTCCCACAGTTCTTCCAGATTCTGGCTGTGCGCCTGGTAAATGTCTCATTTAGCTCTCGTCGTGACTGCGGAATACGTCAAGTGGCGGAAGGAGCATTTGCACCTGGCAAGTGCTGTCACGTGCCGGATGCATATACAAACCGCTGACCGGAAACTGCCGCTCGATAACCTCCCAGCGATAGCTCACCGCGTGCCGTGGACGGACGTGTGTACCCCATCAACCCCGGCCCCAGTCGAGCGCCGCTGAGGCACCAGCCGGTCCCAGTGGGTCCCAGCCCAGGGTGGCTGAGGCACTAGTCAGCTCCAGCCCAGCAAAGCTAAGGCACCAGCCGGTCCCAGCGGGCCCAGTATGGCTGACGCACCAGCCGGTCCCAGCGGGCCCAGCATGGCTGCGTCACCGGGCCGCCGCCGCTCATACCGCGGCCCGCCTGCGCCTGCGCCTGCGCCTCACCTGAATGACCCGCATGGGCAGGCCGGTCTCCTTGGCCAGCTGCTCGCGGATGTGCCGGGTGGGCTTGGGCGTGGCGTTGAAGGCGGCCTTCAGCACCTCCAGCTGCTTGGCCTTGATGGTGGTGCGCGGGCCGCGGCGCTTGTTGCCGCCCACCTTGTCGTCGTCGGGGCTCTTGTTCTCGGCCTGCGAGTCCCGGCTCGGGTCGACTTCGGCGTCCGAGCCCGGGTCCGACTCGTGCTTGTCCGAGTCCACCACACTGTCGGCGTGCCCCACCGACGCCGCCTTCTCACTGAGCGCGTCTCCGGCGGGAGGCGCCGACGGCGTCATCAGGTTGTTGTTGGCCTCCAGCTTCACGGGCGGGCTCTCCAGCTCCAGCGGCGGCAGCGACGTGGCACTGATGACGTCGGCTGAGGCCGAGAAGTCCTCTTCCTCCTCCTCCTCTTCCCCGTGGATCACAGCGTCTGTCGGAGGACACGGCCGGCGGTCAGACCACTGTAGCCGCTGGAGAAGCGCACGCGACGCCGCGAAGGGGGAGGGGGAGAGGCGCTGTGGCAGCCGGGGCGAAACAGGGTACATCGGTAGAGTGCCGTACGGTAGACCAGCGAACTGTCGCGTCCCAACGCGGTGCAGCAGTGGGGGGGGGGGGGGGGTCGAATCTGGTTCGGCCGCCCACCGCGTCGTACTGCTCAGCTGCGGTTGGCACGTGATAACCCCACACAACAGTGTGCACACGTTTACAACTTTGTGGGATCGGACAGCATGTTAAGCACATTTCAATGCGGAAAGGCTACTTTCAGGCGTTGATTTGTCTGCAGGGTATGTTCTTATAAGTGTCAAGAGCGTAGTTGACCAAAAGTGAAAGTGTCCCTCGACGTTAGGTTTTTATGCAAAATTTGTCTTTTTCAGTGTGTCCAGATATACTCCATGCGACTTTCACCTCCCGCGAAGCAGAAGTTTTGAAATATATAATGGAAAGGTTAATAAAAAATGCTGCAAACGTAACAGTGTCTGACAAAACTGTGAGTATCACAATCTTGAGGTGTTTTATTGCCCATACATTTCCGCACTGTCGCACCGATAATCAAAATGAGTCAAGCATTTATGTATTATTCAGCAGCCCAATTTAAAACGTGCTGAACTAATGGTCTGGATCACCTGAGTTGTGTGCTTGTTGAGGTGAACGGCGCGAACGGATGCTAATATTTTGATAACATCCCAGCCTTACTGATAGCTCGTTTGTCACGACATGTCACAACATGATAGCTCACGACCACGACATGTCACGCGTGGAAATTAGTGACGTTATCTTCACGGTGAAGCTCTAGCCGGTCACCTTCGGCGTCGCTTTACGCCATCCTTGTCTGGTGTTGAACACCTGAAGCATGTTACGCCGGCGCACCGAGACCGAGTTTTAGCCGACGCCGCGTTCGTAACGCCAGGGGCCCGCACAAATACGAGGGCAGTCAGCTGCCGCAGGAACCGCGACCGGGCCAACTGGTCGAGTGCACCAGAATCGCCGCAATAAACTACACGGCGCCCATAAGCCGCGCGGAGCCGGCGCGCGTACAACATATCGCTAGCATGACAGATGGCTGCGTGCACCCGGCGAGACGAGGCTGGCATAAAAAACAATCGCTGCGGAGCGTGACGACTGCGCGTGGGTGGCGCGCGGCCTCTTTGTGCCGGCGCCAGCCGCCGGGAAAAGGTCGGCCGCTCCGTTCTCGCAGCGGGGTATCGCATACACCTCGGTCACCATTAGACCACGCCCGTAAGTTTTCTTAATGAGATTGCTTCCTTGCAACGGGGGGAAACCTGTCAACTAGGTCATTTGGCTACCTGGGCTAGGAATTATTTACAAGTTTGAGCATAAATAAGCTTGCCGTTTTGGTAGGTATAATTGCTCATTCTCCATCGGTGACCGCGGAACAGAAGCAATTTATCAAACAATTATTTGTAAAGTGCCGGCATAAATTTCAAGGTGAATCCCTTTAGTGTGAACATCGTTTAACTAATTGTTCCGTACAGAGCTTGAGTCCGGCTAATTACGTCCTATATTGCAGCCGAAAATTTCGTTCCCAGTAGCGTAATGTTGCATAATTACCCTTGAATGGCAGGAAGGGCAGGTGACTGTCTTTATGCGACCTGTCTGCGCCATTTTCCGATGGATCGTAAAAACTGCAGACATGAAGGGCACCATAAACAAGCGATTCGTTAGGGCGGCCTGCGTGACCGCGCTGCGGCCTGGACGGGACTCAGCCCGGCGTCACTGCCCTGGGGCGGGAGGCGTAGCGCACGCCGTCCGGTCGCCCGTTTGGGAGCCCGTTCGCGAGCGTGGCGCGGCGCGCGGCGAGCGCGTTGCGGCGGGCGGGGCGCCGGAGCGGCGCGGCGGTCGCCTGCCGAACGGAATCGGCCTCCGCCGCGACACTTACACACTTGATGGCCGCTTTTTCCGACGGGGACCGCGTGCCTGGCATTCTCGTCCGACAGGGGACATTTTGAGACAGGATATAGCGGCCGGCGGGCCCGTCCCTGACGCCCCGCCGGGTCTCCGCGGCGCAGGGTGGTGATTACGGCCAACCCTTCCTGGCCGGGCAGGTGCGGCCCGCCTCTCGGCTATCCATCAAAGCCGATATTTTGTCTTTGGCGCATAGTTTTAGCGCGCGCAGCCGGTGATTAATGCGGAATCCGGTCGTCGCTGGCCGGTGCGCCTGGGCCGTCCATCAGCGCCGGAGGTGACCCGTGTCACGCGGCCCGCTGGACAGACCCCTCCCTCGGCGGCGCGGCCCGCTCAGCCGCTGTCTGCCGCGCCGCCAGGGGCAGACCCCCGTCTCGCGCGCGGTCTGCCCGGACTGGGCGTGGGAGGCGGCAGAGGCCACATGCCGGCCGCCGCTGACACGGAGCTGCCGACCCGGCACCCGCCCGGCAGCGCCACCAGGAGTGAATCATCAGGGAGGACGGCTGCGTGAGTCACGCCGCAGCAGGCCAGCAGACTGTCATGGTCAGGGAGCCTTGCCAGCTTCAGCGTACTCATGCTAAGTCATTTCGCGGTATGTATGCGGAGTCATTTCGCGGCATGTATGCGGAGTCATTTCGCGGTATGTATGCGGAGTCATTTCGCGGCATGTACGCGGAGTCACCAGCAGGTCCACGCCCGAAGGTGTGTACATGGTCTTCTGTGGGACCTGCTGTCGTGGATGCATTGTACTGAGTGCAGAGAGATAGCAATTATTTGTGTGTGTATATATATATATATATATATATATATATATATATATGTATATATGTATATATATATATGTATATATATATATATGTATATAAACCGATCAAGCCACAAGGTTTTGATGAACCAATCGGATACTTATCAACCAACACATAAGCGTTTAACCCACATCTATAGTTAAGATCGAGCAACAGATAGCGTCTGACACAAACACATGTTTTAAGATCAGCACGCATCGCTTAAGCACCACCGATGCCTAAACCCAACAACGACAGGAACGGGGCAGCGTCGACGCTCAGGACCATCGCGGGTCTGGCGGATCGAGGGGCTGGTCATGCCCTCTCAAAACCGCGCCCAATTCCACCCTGGCCACCATCCACACGGGACGCACGTGCCGGCTGCCCGTGCAGCGCGCCCTCCGGCGGCAGCCTGCTGCGCTACGTTACGGCCCCACCAGCGAATAGACTCGTTAACAGGCTCGATAAGTAGGTCCCGCCCCGGCATAACCAGCGTGAGTAACATTGTTCTTGGATACCGGAGGCTAATTAGATGAATTATTGAGCATCTCCCGGAGACGGGATCGCCGCCGGTCGGCCGAGCGCGCGCTCGGGATGAACGAAGAAAATGAATCGGCCAAAAACAACAAAGGAACAATCGAACATACTTCCTGCCGGTCCGCCCTCCGGGCAGCCGGCCTCAACAAACAGGAATAGGAAAGGGCCGGTTGTTGAACCGGCGTTTGGAACTGGTTTGGTCCAATCACTCGTAACTCGATTCCAATAGAGGCCGCTCCCCTCCCCAGTAGCCCCCTCCCCCCCCCCCCCCTCTCTCTGTGCTGTCCTCCGGGGTGATCGTTCCCATGCTGTTCGGAGCGGCGGCTTGCATGGGACGCAGAGATCACGAGCGTGTTGCCGCCGCCGGCCACATGCCCACAACTTGTGGATACGACAGTGTGCATACACGATTTACCGACTTCACGTGCAATTCTGCACGGATGCATAAACTGCACGCAAATTGCTGATAATGAGACAAATTCGGCGTCATTAGGTGGCTCTTGACAAAGCCGGCGTCGGCGGGGCGGCCGCGAGCCGTGGCCTTCGCTCGGTGAGAGAGCTGGCGCCGGCGGCTGGCGGCGCGGGCGCCCGGCGCCGGCCGCTGGTCACGAGACGGCGGCGGCGGCGCGGCGCCGGCCGCCGGAGCGCCCCCCTGACGCGCCGGCGGCCCTCCCAGCGGCCAGCCCCGCGGGCGCACGGGGGTTTGCTGCTCAGCGGACCGGTCAGCAGGCGGGGGTGCACTGTTTGGCGGGTTGGTGAGCAGAGGAGAGGGGGCGGGGTGCGGCGGCACGACGGCGTCCTGTCGGGACGCTTACCGGGCCGCGGCTTTCAGACCGGCCGTACCCCGTACCAAGGGCCGGGGAGGCGCCAGGTACGGTGGTAGTCTGCGGTGGCCGTACCCCGGGCCGGGGAGGCGCCAGGCACGGTGGTAGTCTGCGGTGGCCGTATCCCGTACCCTGGACCAGGGGGGCACCGGGTGCAGAACGGGTCGTTGAGCCATGGATGACACACTCGCTAGCTGCAGCTCTGCACCTCTGGGAGTGGTGCAGATGCCAACCAAGCGCTAGAGACTGGAAGGCCCGAGACATATATCAGATAATAGCTGCATGGCCCGAGTCCTTCCATGGAATCAGAGAAGGAACACATGGTGTTCTCTCGGGACGTAGAGAGGATAGACGGCAGCTACATGTCCCACACCGTCGCTCAAGTAGTCACCAGGGCCTTCGGGCGCTTCGCCTGCGCGATGATATAGCGCCCAAACGCCTCGGCGCCCGTCGTGGCTCTATGACCCGTCACAGCGCCGCGAGGTCCAACGGGTGACGCCGGCCGCCTGTTAGCATGACCGCGTCTGTCCCTGGGCGGAAGCCGAGCATCGCGGCGCGCTGAGGCGTGCGTCATGACGAGGGCGAGCAGGCCCTCCAGCTAACCGCCAGACAGTCACGAGCGCAGACACTCAGGACGTGCTCCACTCCACCATCAGGACATCCGAACGCAGCCCCCGGCGCAGACTGCCGCCCGGCACGGACGGCGCCGCCGGTCGGTTCCCAGCGGCGCGAGCCATCGCAGCCGGCGGACGGCGGCGGCGTTTGCGGCGCCCGCTGCACGCGGCGGCGCTCGCCTGTTCCGGTCCCACGGCGCCGGAGATGCTATCGGACGGCGCGCGGGGCGCTTGGCCCGGAGCGGAGCCTCACCCTGGGGACGACCCCGGGGCCGGCCACGGCCCGACGGCCAGCCGCCAATTATTCACACCCGTACCCGGGCTTCCACATAAGTATAGACAGACGGTATAATTGCAGCGGTAATGAGCGGGCGGCATGGAATCGCGGCTGGCTAGATAGGCGGCGCGGCCGGCAGCAGCACAGCGAGCGCTGCTGCACGCTGCGCGGCTGCTCGGCCGCTCCTGGAGGGCGGCGGGTTCGTCCGCGAGCTGACTGTTCTCCCCAGACGCTCTGGGCGGGGCAGCTGCGGAGTGGCACCAGTTAGGAGAGGTCTGGGTGAGAAGTTTGAAAGGTCAACCTACTTCACCGTACAGTCGACGTCATTTTCAGAAGCGCCGTCTGACGTTCGCCGCCGAGCGGCCCGAGCTCCTTGTTGGCCGTGGAAACGGCGTCGGAAATCTTGGGCTCTGGCGAATCGGAGTGAGCCAGCTGGGCTCTAGCAGCTGGGCTTCAGGCGGGGTCTGGCCGGCCGTGTGAAGCCGTGCACAGGGCTTCACACGGCCGGCTGTCACACGGCCGTCGGGGCTGTCAACCCCGCACGCGGCTCCGGCCGCTGACGGAGAGCGCGTCGGCACCGGGCTCCGAAGAGCCGGAGTCTTCTGCCGATGACGACTCACGAGCCCCCAGCTGGCCGCCAGGCCATCCGGGGCGTGCTCCGGACTCTCGTGCCGTCGCCCGAGCGCGACCGGTAGCATGCGCCAGCCGCCGTCTCGCGGCGATCATTGCTTGTTAAAATAGTTTCCCTTGTTCTCAGTGGTGCTTAGCGATTTTTAACGATGCATGCCCTCGGGCCAGTTTATTGCGGGATGAGTTACGGACCGCTGCAGCCGACGGAGACCATTAGGTATTCCGGCCTCCCTGCATCCGCAGAATATACGACTGATATCAGCCCGGCCGCGCCGCTCTGCAGCCCGCCGTTGACGTAACACCGACTGGGGCGGCCGGCGCGGTGCGGCGCGGCGCGGCGTGGCGTGGCGCGGCGTGGCGCGGCGTGGAGCGGCGCGGCGCGAGGGCCCGTCACGCCGCCGGTTTCACAGCTCGCCTCAGGACGTCCATCAGCGGCTGGTCTGCTGACGAGCGGCCCCAAACGGTTCACGGTGTATGAATAACGACGCCTCCTTCCGCGAAGACCCGTCGCGGCCGTCCGCGGGGAAAAAATTGGAGGTTGCCGGGCTCGGACTATCAGATGACTATTGATACATCACGCCGGGAGTGTGCGGGGGACTGTGTGGCCGTGGGGGTGGGGGAGCGTGCTGTAAAAACGGGCCCGGACCCTGTCTGTCCGGCCACCTGCCCATACCCACAACAATGTAGCCAGCCAACTCGAAAATGGTTCGATACATTGGGGAAACAGCGCCGCACGCGGCAGCGGGGCACCCGACCAGGGGGCTTCCACATATTGTCCCACGCATGAGTCCCACGGGCTGGGCGGCCGGGCCCCGTCGCTCGAGAGGGCTTCTTCACGCTGGACGTCCGGATAACTCCGTCCGAGAGAGGCCCCAGAGAGGCCCCGCACATGGGACGATGGGATACTTCCATCCGGGAGAGCTCCAACACATTGGGCGACGGGTACCTCCATCTTGGAGACCTTCAGATTGAGCGGCGAGGAACTGCCGCCCGACAGTGTGTCCGCGCGTTGTACGATGGGGTACCTTCCCACCGCACGATGGGCGTCGGGCACTTCTGCCCAGGAAAAACTCGAAACATTGGACGACGAGGCACCTCGGTCCGGGAAAGCTGCTGTGCATTGGACCACGTGGCGTCTCTGCCAGTGAAAACTCCGGTATTCTCGGCGGCGGGCCACCTCCGCCCGGCAGCGCTCGCGCGGCGAAGGCCCGCTTGAGCGGCACCGCACCCGTCATCGCCGCTGTTCCGGTGCGCTCCGGCGGCGGAGGTGCGGCGGCGGCAGGGCGCCGGCCGCACCCGCCGCCGCGGCCCGGCTGCGGCGGCAGGCCCGCCGCCCGGCCTGGCTCAAGCGGCAGGGGTGCAGCGGCGGCGGCGCGTCGCTCGCCGCCCGGCCGCCGCCAGATGGCTGATAAGACGGCGGGGCCGTGAGGCCGCTCGTGAAGCCGAGCAGGGCGATCCGCGTCTGCCGGCCGCCGCCTGCGCCGCCCGCTCGTGCTGGCTAACTGGCCCGCTATGCAAATGCTATTGGGTATTTGTTATTAATAGCCGGGCCGAGCAGCGTTTGCGGGCTGCCGCGCGGCGCTTGTTACGGCGGCGGCCGGCCGCGCAGCTGCCGCCCGGCTCGGCCGCCGCTGAGAGCGACGCCCGACTGCTGCATATCACCCGTCACCGCGTCGCGCGCCGGCGCTCCGGCCCAGCGGCGACCGACGCCTTCCCGAGCGCTGTCCCCGGCAGCGTAACAGCTGGCGGTGTGGTGACCGAAGTACCCACTGTGCCAGCGGGCTAACCCATGACGCCTTCATGTTATGTTGCTTAAGAGCGGTGATCGGTGTAGGCTGGAAATGCTTAAGTTTGTCCCTCTCAAGTTTCATTGCAACGTATGCCTGGCCTTTTTCTGGGTCTACTTTCATAACACCTACACACGAGCGTGACACTTTTCGGTCGTCTGGTATCCACAAGTGGCCAGAAGAGCTCAGTTTACTTTATACTTATGTCTGCATTCGCGGGTCGCCTCTGACCGTCGCATGCTGGTGACACTCCACTGTTTGTGAAAACTGCGCTTTGAAGAATGCGATCTGGAGGCGTGAAGCTTTGCACTTACGTTTTGCAACACTTGGTCTTGGACGGGTTCACGTGTAAAGAAACGTTTGCCAAGAGAGGGTGCAAATGTTCCCCGGGAGGTGCACCTTGGAATGCGCCCCTCCAGGGCACCTCGGGTACTGTCCTCGCCCGGGGCGCACCCGAGGTAATTTCCGCCGTTGCTGTTCCAATTCTGCGCCATATAGCCCAGTTGGGCGCGCGGCCGAAGGTTGCGTGATGACGAATTAACGTACCCGAATTGGGTGCAATAAACTATATTGTTTTACGAGTGCGGAGGAGGTGGTCCGATATTGAGATGTCAAAAGAATTCACCGGGAGATACCAGCATTGGTGCTGGTATCTCTCCCGCTACGCGCGTCTACGCTGGGTTCCAGATGTTGCTTCGACGTTTTGCGGCTAGAAGGCGATGCGACTGATGCTACGGCTGAATAAAACGGGACTTACAAGTGCGCTGTTAAGATTCTGACCAAACCAAAGAGCGTGACAAACAACGAAGCAAAGATCCTGGGCTAGACAGCTAAAACTAGGATGGCATGCGAATTTGTAAGCATCCATGCATGCCAGTTGTGGCAAATAGCGTCCCTTGAATTGCCTTGGACTTGCGTTGTCCACTATCACGGGTAATAAAAACATTTTTATTTTAAATTGCAAGGTAGTATTGCCGGCAGCTTTGCAAACTCCTACCCACACCGACCATTCTGATTATGTTCGCCGATACGATGTTTTAAGTTCCTATGTACGCATGTCAACACTGGGGGGCTTAGGCAATTGTACGGAGACTTAATAAAAAGCACAACCTATAGAACTCCTTGTACCACTTGGTTCAAAGAAAATGCACGATACCAATCATCGTAAAGTCTGATTCAAACCGCAAAAATTTGCATCCAGATTACGTTCAGCAACGGTTACTGGGAACCCACTGGAGCACCGCTCACGACTTCAGATCGGCTTGGACCAAGCCGCGGCTGTCGGCGGTGGGCAAAGCCTTCTCAGCGGTCAACCACGGCAACCGAAGCCAGCGCACGGCGGCCGCTCTACTCACCTGGCAAGCTCTTGCCGCTAATATAATCTTCTTTACAGATGAACCTGTTCTCGTCGAGCACGTAGAGCTCCTCACCGGTGGACAGCTGCTTGCGGCAGACCAGACAGGTGAAACACTTGAGGTGGAACACCTTGTCTCGCGCCTTCCGCACCAGGTCCTGCGGCGAGATGCCGTGGCCGCAGCCGGAACACTTGGTGCCGTACCTCCTGAAACGCAACCGACGACCGTCACCGCGACTGGCCGCGTTTCGGGCGGCAGGGCGCCCTTTGTGCGCGTGGACCGGAGGATGATCGCATCGGACGCGAGCGCTCCGGGTATCAGCCGTGACGAGCTGGCGCCGGTAATGACACCAGCGGCCGCGTTAAAGCTGGCTCCCATCCTGCACGCGGCCGCCCACTCGCTTCGCCAGCCAGTCGAATTCAATCTCGGGTCCCATTACTTCAAGTCAATACCGCACTATAATGCGACGCGGCCCCAAGCGGATTCGGCAAAGCCGGCGCGCTGCGGCAGCGGCGGCGCGCGGCGGCCGAGATCGGCGCGATGCGCTGCGCCGCGTAAGCCGCTTACGCTAATCCCATCAGGGCGCCGAGGGAAATCAAAATTTTCGTCATTGGCAACGAGCGGGCCGATCATAGAGCCATCACGCGGGGAGGGCGCGGCGCCGGCCGGCCCGCCTGGGACTGTCTTCACACCCACTGGGCAGCGTCTTGTGGTCCAGGCACGCCTGCACGGCGCAGGCAGACCACACACCGCCGTCTGCACGGCCGCACCACGCTGCCTGCCCGGATGGGAGTCCGCCGAGGAGCAAGCTGCCGGCTGCCCATGAGCAGAGCTCGCTGGATGTGGGGTGGGAAAGCGAGATAGGAAGGATTTGACCCCGCCTCGACCCCGCCCAGAGAAGCGTTGGAAGGGCAGAGGTCGGCACATCTACGCTTGATCGTGCTTACTAAACAATGATTGCATGTTTTTGCTACCCGTCTATGAGCGCAAGCCCCACTGCAGCGTTCCGTAACGGCGCGCCGCCGGACGGTATTACGCCCATCGCCCGTGTGTTTTGCACACGAATTCCGTGTTAGTGCGGAATAAAGCCGGACTGATGGCCGCACGCCGTCCCTTGGCGGCGGCAAAAAGTCTGCAGCTCTTGGAACCGGCCGGGAACGGTTTAATTATCGGGCTATCATCGACACGCAAGCGACGCTCTGTCAACAGCCGGCCGACCCGGACCGGCACTTTTCGTCGCGCCGCTCGAGACAAATTAGAGCTGCTCCCTTTGATTTGCCATCAAATTATAGGCATTTAGTTTGTCGGAGGCGGCCGGACCACACGGTAGGGCGAAATTCCCAGCGGCGCAGCTGCGGCCGCGATCCCCACCGCAGGCCGGCGGGGGGGAAGAGGGGGGGAGGGGGAGCGGCTGTCACTCAGCGGAGCGATCATCTGTGCAGGGTCTGCCGCCGGCGGCGCCTTCCGCCTCCGGGTCACGCTGCCAAGGGGGTTGCTCGCTGCCCGGGAAGTGGCCGGCAGTGTGTGGCTCTCGGAGAGGATCTGTCAGCCCGCCTCACATCCGTCGAGGCGGCGGTGGGCCGGTCAGTAGCGGGTGCGTCCCAGAGAGCGGCGGCCGGCGGCGGCGGAGGCCGTTGATTTCCGGGCGAGCCCAGCCAGGCGGCGCGCGCGCCCCGACCACCGCCAGCTAGTGCGTGTCCGGCCACGCCGCGTCGGAGCCCACTCACAAACAGAGCCGGCGCCGCCGGCCGCCGACAAAGGCACTGACCGCAAGCCTTCTCAGGCATCCCGCCCCCAGAATGTCGGCAAAGACCGAAATATTTCCCCCGGATAAGGCCCGGCATTCTCGGGTTTGTTTCCGTCATTGTTCTGTGCGCGGAAGCTGTGATACGGCCTGCTGGAATAGCTACGGTGAAATCAGGCAAAAAGTGGCCGGCGCGCTCCGGACGAGCGGGCACTGCCCGCGGTCCCGCCGCCGCATTCTTGTGGAGTTTTAAACAAAAATGTGATCTAATCTGGACCGCCCTGTGCGCGCGCCACAGCTCTTGTTTCCGTTAGATGGACGCCTTGTTTCCCTCTTTTCTGCGCTGTACTGCTGGGATCTGAGGTGGCTTCACTGACGGCATATAAAATTCACAACTGTGCAAATGTAACCTTCTTTCGCGTTGTTGCGAACAAAAAAAGTTGCATAATATAAGTTATTTCTCCGCTTCACAGTGCTGCGGATTTTAAAAGAGCTATGGAAAAAAATAGCAGAGATGAAATCCCCAACCCAAAAGCGCTCCAGCTCCAGCACCCGGGTTCTCTGGTCACATGCCCTGAAAAGGCATGTAAGGCATGGGCATGCCCTGTAAAGACAGGTGTCTTCGGGACTGCCAACGCCTTTCGGGGGTGTCAAGAAGCCCCGAAACGGCGGAAGCTCTGAACTCTCAAGAGCACCCAGCTGCAAATGTACTGTCGACATTGGGGAAAGGTATTTTCCACGTTTAAACGTTTTGGGAGCGAAAGAAAAAACAATCGCCTATTTGCCACTTCCGACAGCGCATGGGTAAGGCGCTTTCCTACAACTCGTGGTAATTGAGCATTTTGGCGTGCTGCCCACTTCCATTATCAGCACCACTTGTCTGCCCTTGGCAACGCAGCTTTTCATTCATTCGAAATCAAAAGCCAACTTCGATTTATTTCAGCTGCTATGCATTATGCGCCAATGGCTGGAAATCAGGAAGAGCTCTAACTCACACAACAGACATCAAAAGACTCCCTTTAGAGGAATTGGGCGTACCGTGAAAACGTGCCTGAGTAAAAAGCTTCGACGCACCTGCAGTTTCCTGATTCCTTTACGATTCCTCTTTTTGTCAGGGCTTTTCTCTTTACGCGGTATTCATTATGCAAAGTTTTGGTGCTAGTTAGCATGCATCCTGGGACGAAATCACGCATCTAATAACGGCACACACAGCGGTATACCTCCATTATGACAGACGCTTCCGTTATTCCACAAAGTCGCAGTCGAAGACAAAGCGCAAAAATGGAGACATTTTGATTCTTATGTTTCATCGGAATTGTACGCTGTTTCTGGGGATAAAATGTCATGCCATAAAATACAATACTCTTGGTAGGACCATCTTGTCAAAGGGCGTCAACCGTTTGAACAATGCGCTCAAATGATGTGATTGGAGACAACATTGAAATATATTTTGAGTGTGTCCATTGTCAATATTGCTTTAAGCGCGATGTGGCATAGCTTTTGTTTATCACCCGCATGCCCATATATGGCATAACCTACATAGTACCTACATTACATTTTTAGTGGCTTGCGATGAAAGACACAAGGCGTACGATTTGGTGTTTCGAAGCTGGGTGATATCACCGAAGGGAATTTTTTTGGACCAAACATCACTCGCCATCACAGACGACCAGGAAGAGAAACATACCGAGGGCAAAAATATTTTTAGACTGTTTCTTTAAATCTGCCCATTTATAGAGTGGGTTGTTGCAGTCATTGCGGGCATGTGAAAACAAAAAAGGTGCACCTTGTAAGTCGTGCTGCTAGTGGTTTTGCACCAACGGCATTGCATCTTTGCCGCGCAGCAATGCTTCATGTGGCCGCCTAAATGTACCGTCATCTAACGCCCTGAGAACAGAATATCAGTCAGCGCCGATGTCCCAGGTCATGTTGTCATGACTCGCAACTTAGGTTGCTGAGTGTTGACGAATACCATGGGGGTGAAAAACGCCGTCATTGAGGAAGACCGTGGCACAGTAACGCTCACTTCGTGTCAGTCGCAGCACGAGGTAGGTATTATACAACAACCGCTGGCCCGGCCAGCTAGCTGTTGCTGGCCGGGCCAGCGGACGCCGGTCGTTTCGGACGGGTCGGAGCTCACGGCCACCTGCCGCGACGCCGGTCCGACGGGGACCAAGCCGCGGACGACGGATCGCGCCGGCCGGTGGAGCAGAGGAGGGGCTCACGGCGCGGCCGCGCGCCAGATGGCTGCCCGGGCGCCGCGGCGGGGGGCACCACCGCGCGCCGCCGCCGGCAAGGGGTGACACAGGCCACACAAAGGTGCCGGGCCCGGACAGCGGCGCAATGACACAGATGACTGGAGAGGAGCTATGCCGCGCGGCGGGCGGCCGCCGGCCGGCCCGTGCGCGGCCGCGCTCCGTCTCGCGCCGCCGGGGGCCGTTTTTATGCGTGTTTGTCCGTAACGGGACCGAAGGACCGCGGCGCGGCCGACCGTCCCCTCCCTTCCTCCTGCGTCGGTGACCCCCTTCCCTGCCCCCCGCGGCCGGCGGTAAACAGTGGGCGAGGAGGGAGGAACGAACGGCTGCCTGTTGCAGCCAGTGGCTCCCAGCCGTCGCCCGGCGTCGTCGTCATCACAGTCCTCGAAATCCGCCTTTAGCGCCTGGACACTGCTATTGGCCGTTGCGGTTTCTGCTCGGTCTTAATTCTGTCATTTTTCAATGGCAGGGCGCGGCGAATGGCGGCGCGTCTCGCGGCCAACATGGCGCGACTTTGCAGGCGCCTGGCCGCCGACGGCCGGCCGCCGCTCGTAACTCCTTATTAGGCGACACCCGGCAGGCTCTAATAGCCTCTGATTTAATTGTTCGGAAAAGATTTAGTCTGAATTTACGGGCTGACAGGAGCACGGTGTGGACGCAGCCTGTCGGAAACAAACGGCTTCTGTCCGGCCCCGCGTCGGCCCCGCTGTCCGGCGCAGCAGCCGAGGACGCGGGGGGTGACTGCGACAGCAATGGAGCTGCACCGAGCTCGGCCCCGCCGCGCCACCCGCTCGCAGCACGTGTTTCAACACACCGCGACGCCGCCATTATCACAGCATGGGCTTACGAGCGCTTGTCATCACTGAGCCCACTCGCATCTTGACTATGTCACGGCTCAAATTCTTGTGTATCGATCGCTGACGTCATCAATTTCGTGAACGCTCCTCCACTGCAGGGCAGCCCCGCGGTTCTCATCGTTGCGAATCCCTTCGCTGTATATGTATATGGGAGTTCCTGGATGAAAATCTATCGATAAAAGCAATGTATTGCACTGAATTTGCGACATTTGTAGGCAAATCAGTTTTATCCCAGCAAACCCGGTGGCTGGTGAATCGCGTATCATGAAACTTTAAGAACCCGAAGTGCTTAGTTTATCGTAATTTGTGACGCAGTACATATGTAACCTTTCCGATGTATTTCCTTTTGC